AAAAAAAAAATCTACAAAATACCCCCACCCAGCCCAATGTTGAAAATTCCCCAATGTTGAAAATTCACACCAATGCTGTATTTTTCTCACTTCCTTCATCTCTACTCTTGCACAAATACTTAGGTGCGCCTTGACACACCTAGTAAGGTGTGTCAATGCATTTTTAAAATGAACATGTTACATAATAGAATAAACATAAGTAAACATGTTTACACATGCTCATTTAATTATGTAACATGTTCATTTTAAATTGTCTTGGCACACCTAGGGCGCACGATAGTAGCACTGCTACTCTTGTTTATATTCTTTAATTTTGTGCCCGGTATTAGATAAATTCAGTTTCAATTTTATAAATTCCTTCTCATTTCAATTTTGGTGCCATAATATTCTCTCTTTCCTATCACTTTCACCTCTCGTTTTTGTTTTATAAATTCTATTCGAGTTATAAAATATCGAGTGTTCATGGAGGCCGTGATAGGTGGCCACCAAAGCGTAAAAAGTAGGTGCATCTACGAGTGGTCAACCTCCATTGTCGACACCAATGATAAATCGGAACGTTTTGTGTCTACCTGATGACATTGAGCCTGCTACGGTCTAACGTGTATCTCAAATTCACGGGAGGTTACAGTTCGAGGAGGACGAGGACCAGGAGGAGCCATATGACATTGATTTCGATCCTACTCAAGGTCAACCTAAAGGTCCTCAACGGATTAACGTCGGCGGAGGTCAACAGTTGGCATATGACATATTGACAAGGCATTTCACGAAGGTGCCCAATATGAGAAAAGGTGACAAACATTTTATATGAATATGCAACCACTGTACGCCCAACGATAAAAATAAGTACGACTTCAAAGCCAACGATGGCTACAAAAACATGCAACGACACGTACGGACACCTCATCCGTCCTAAATGGGGATTCCCACGACCCAAACACAAATCCAGAATTAGCAATGCATCTGCGACTAGAACGTGTTATTCTTCTTCTTCTTAATTTCAATGCTCTCGGGAAAATCAGAGATGTAATCTACCTGAATGTGTTTCTTCTTCGTCTCTTCTTTTCGGTTTTGGTGATTCTAACTTCTATGAAAATTTTGATCAGATAGCTTTGAAGTCGGTTGCTTCTCGGGTTTCACGTACTACTCTCACTCGCGATATTCGAAATATTGTAGATGCAAAAAATTAATTTCAAAATTTTGAAATTTAAATCAAAGAGTTTCTATTTGTTGTGACATTTGGTCCGCTAATTAGCAAATAATTATTATATAGGAATTACTTTTCATTGGATATACGATATTTTTACATTACAAAAACGTTGAATTACTTATACGAGATTTAATAACTCTCACACTGTTGCTAATATTCCGTGTTTAATTTCACATGTCTTAAATACTTATAGAATTGGTAAATAATTTTTTCCAATTTTTTTTATAATGCTAGCGCTAATACTTCTTATTAAATGATCTTAGAGTAATTTGTCATCTCCTTTGTCGTGGAAAAAATTTTCATATTCAGTGTATGTTTCATGTCATTAATATTTTTGTTCAAACGGGTTGTAATGCTTTGAAAGAGTTAGTCAAACCCATTTATGAGACCGTTATGTACTTACAACGTCGTCCTCAAGAAATATAAAAAAAATGGGGAAAACATTGTAGAGATCGTGATGTTATACCTAAAGAAGTCCAATCAGGCGTTCCTACTCGGTAGAATTCAACTTTAAAATGTTATAAAAAAACGTGTGAATATGTTGTTCAACTAGAAACTTTTCTTAGGAGTCTTGGTCGTTGTGATTGTAGTGTCAACGTTAGTATCGGTAATTGGACAAATTGCAAAACACTTATAGAATTTTTAGGAATATTTCAAAATGCTACTAACGTACTTAGTATTTACTGTCATAGTATTTACTATCATATATACTGCTAACCTTGTATAGGTCAATGTGTAGCCATAAAAGTGGTAAAGTAATAATGTCGGTTAAAAATATATGAGTTGATGAATAATAATATATATATATTTTTGAAATCTATATATATATAAAGAGAATTACCATTTTTTAAATTGGCAAGTCAATTTGTGGTCAAATATAGTTGAGCATTAATTGCATGCTATTAATAGCAAGTTTTCATTTTATTTTTTATTTAGAAATGTGCATCATTAATTATTGAATTTAAATGTGTAGTTTGTTATTTATTTTTGCGTAACATTAGGCTGTTCTTTTTTCATTTTCACAAATTAAAAAAAAAAAACTTTCTTTAACATATAATCGTGTACCACATTGCAAATTTTATTTTATTAAAAAAATAAATTACGCCTAATTTAATGATATAAACTTAAGTAAACGATTATATTTATAAATTAAAAATGAAAGTAAACGATATTAAATAATATTTATAAATTAACGATGTGGGGTTAATATGTCATATAATTTACGGTATACCAGTTTATTATAAACGATATAAAATTAGCTTGTTCAAGAAAACAAACAATTTGTATGTTTAAACAATTAAAAACTCCTAAAATATTATATTAACATATGTAAAGTTATCTAAACTTTTATATATTATTATTAAAAGATGTGAAGTTCCTAAATTTTTTTAAATTTTTTTGTAAATAAAATATATCTAAAAACATTAAAATTTACATTTATATGAAAGATGTTTTCTGAATATGACATGATAAATATTATATAAAAGAATCTAAAATATTATAAGCCTAATTAGATACATTACAAAGTTTTGAAAGAAAATTTACCTAGTATATATAAAATAAATATTGACATGATGCTGAAAATTACGACGATACTACCGTACCTGAAAATTTGAGTATAGAAGATTTCAAAATTATTATTATTATTATTATACTTTTGAGCAATTTGAGTACAAAAGATTTCACAATTATTATTGTTATTCTTTTAAGTAATTTGTGTACAGAAGATTTCAAAAGTATACGTATAAAATTCCACTTTATGCATATTTATCAATTTTACAAATAAAATGGAATTTATTTTATATTGAATGGAGACTAAGACAATTTTGAAAAAAAAAACTGTCTATTTTCAAAATTATCCTCTTGATTTTTGAAACAATACATTTGTTATGTGATTTAATTATTGTAAAATTTTGAAACTTATGGAAAAAAATTAAAGAGATGAATTTCGATTGATTTGAAATTATTAAACTATTTTGAATTTCGTGCAAATTGAAACCTAAAAAATGAAATTTATTATAATTTTGTAATTTCCAAGAGGTTTGTTAATTTTAAAGTGGCGCAAAATTCTTCATTTAAGGTTAGCCGTTCAAGGATAGAAACATGTGATTAGATATTTTTTAATTCAATTGAACAAAATCCTTTATTTTTTTTAGCGATTTTGAATTAAGCCAAATTTTATGACAACTAAAATGAGAAGGGATTTTGGATTTCAAATTTTCTATTCAAGTTTTAAGGTAATTTCTTCGGCAATATGATTGTTTGGAATAAAAAACACAATTGGGTTTTTTAAATCAAATATGAGAAAAGATTTTGAATTTCGAATTATATTCAATGAATGAAATTTTTAGAACTTAATGGAACCAAATCCATTAATTTATCTTTTAGGGGTTTAAATGAACTGTAATTTATCAAATGTACCAAATCCACCAAATAAATGAATTGTAATTTATTTATTTTTTTTAAAAAAAATAAAAGCATCCGATTAGAACAATTGTAGAGAGTTGATGTTAAAAGAGTTTATGATTTTTTGTATTACTAACTTAAGTTTATATTATTAAATTAGGCGTAATTAATTTTTTTTAATAAAATAAAATTTGCAATGTGGTACACGATTATATGTTAAAGAAAGTTTTTTTTTTTTAATTTGTGAAAATGAAAAAGGAACTGCCTAATCTTGCGCAAAAATAAATAACAAACTCTACATTTAAATGCAATAATTAATGATGCACATTTCTAAATACAACAACAACAACAACAAAGCCTTTTAGTCCCAAACAAGTTGGGGTATGCTAGAGATGAAACCCAATAGAAATAGTAAAAAAAAAAAAAATGGAGCAAAAGAGAAAGGAGCAATGCACATTTCTAAATAAAAAAAATTAAAATAAAATAAAAACTTGTTATTAATAGCATGCAATTAATACTCATCTATATTTGACCATAGTTTGCCTTGTCATTTTTACAAAATGGTAATTCTTTTTATATAGATATATAGATTACTCAAAAGAATAATAATAATAATTTTAAAATCTTCTATACTCAAATTTTCAGGTACGGTAGTATCGTCGTAATTTTCAGCATCATGTTAATATTTATTTTATATATACTAGGTAATTTTTTTTTCAAAACTTTATAATGTATTTATTTAGGCTTATAATATTTAGATACTTTTATATAATATTTTACCATGTCATATTCAGAAAACATCTTTCATACAAATGTAAACTTTAATGTTTTTAGATATATTTTCTTTACAAAAAAATTTAAAAAAATTTAGGTGACTTCACATCTTTTAATAATAATATAGAAAAGTTTAAATAATTTTACATATGTTAATATAATATTTTAGGAGTTTTTAAATGTTTAAACATACAAATTTTATGTTCTCTTCAACAAGCTAATTTTATACCGTTTATAATAAACTGATATATCGTAAATTATATGACATGTTAACCACACGTCGTTAATTTATAAATATTATTTAATATCGTTTATCCTCATTTTTTATTTATATTATTTTTCTTGCTCGTTTAAGAAAAGATCAAGGTTCCCCACTTTTTTCATTGGGTGACTCGGACTCGATACTTATTTATAGTTATTATTTAATATTGTTTATCCATGCATCGCACCCGTGCATCGTACGAGATACACACTTGTATGTAGAATAATGATTAATTTATATTAATCAATTGTATTGAAAAAAAAAAAGTTTGGATAAATGAAATATAATTGGTGTCTTGTGTTTATTCTCCATGGGGTTGTATTCTACTTTTTGGAGCTTGTAGGTGTGTTGTGCGTATTTAGGTAGGTGGCCATTCGGCTTGTCCTCCCAAGGATTTCAGCTGTGTAGCTACTCTATTCCGACTATTACCAGTTGTTATTTGCTTGTAATTATGTGTTCTATTTATGAAATTTTTCTAAAAAAGAGTAATTGGTGTTGTCAAAATCGAAAATAATGTAAAATAGTGTCATCCAAAACAAGAAGAAATTCTGTGGCTGCCCTTTGTCCATACAATCTAACTTAGATAGTCACACAATCTCACTCAACAAACACCAATTTTCCACAAAAGCTCCAATTTTTTTCCTCTCTTGGCCATGAACTTTCACTACCTAAAAATGGCCATTATTACCCTTTCAGTGGCCACGGCACTGTACACCAAAGAAGCGTCAGCCGCCGCCGCAGACCTTTATCCCCTCATATTGATACCAGGAAGCGGTGGCAACCAATTAGAAGCCAGGCTCACGGAAAAGTACAAGCCGTCAAGCTTGCTGTGCAACCGATGGTATCCGCTAAATAAGGACCCAGACGGCTGGTTCAGGCTCTGGTTCGACCCGACTGTGCTGTTGAGGCCCTTCACCAAGTGCTTCAGCCAGAGGGTGATGGTCTACTATGACCCGGATGAGGATGATTACCATAATGCCCCTGGTGTTGAGACCAGAGTCCTTCGTTTTGGCTCCACTGATTCTCTTCTCTATCTTGATCCTAATCTCAAGTGAGTTTTTTTTTTTTTTTCTTTTTTATTTTGTTATTGTTCAATCTAATTCCAGTTTTGTGCAGGCGCATCACATCATACATGGAACCCCTCGTGCGATCCCTCGAGCAAATCGGTTACTCGAGCGGAAAAAACCTCTTCGGCGCACCTTACGATTTCCGATACGCCCCTGCCGCAGTCGGCCATCCCTCCCGAGTCGCCTCCCGATTCCTTTCCGACCTGAAAAGCCTTATCGAAACGGCGAGCGCCTCCAACGCGGGCCGGCCCGTAATCCTCCTCTCCCACAGCATGGGCGGCCCGTACGCCCTCCACCTCCTCGACCAATCCCCACTCCCATGGGTCCAAAAATTCGTCAAACACCTTGTAACCCTGTCGGCCCCCTGGGGTGGCACTGTCGAGGAGATGTCGACTTTTGCCTCCGGAAACACTTTGGGAGTGCCGCTAGTCGATCCGCTTTTGGTTCGGGACGAGCAGAGGAGTGCCCCTAGCAATTTGTGGCTCCTGCCGTCCCCCGCGGTTTTCGACCCGAGCAAACCGCTCGTGGTGGGACCGACCGGGAGCAGCTACACGAGCGGGAGCATTGCGAGGTTTCTTGACGATATCGGGTTCGGGGAAGGGGTGGGGCCGTACAAGACGCGCGTGCGCCCGCTGGTGGAGAGGGTGCCGGAGCCGAGGGTCCCGACAACGTGCGTGGTCGGGAGCGGCGTGGAGACTCCCGAGACGCTGTTTTACAAGAGGGGGTTCG